ATTAAAAGGCTCTAGAGACAAAGCATTGCCATCTCAACGTTCATCAAGACATCAACTGCAATTTGCATACATTTTCATTTGATTTAGTTCATCAGAGTTAAACCAATGTTAATCTTATCATGCTTTTCTTGAGATTGTTGTGTCAATGCCCCATGTTTTTCAATTCACTCATCAAAATATCAAAATAAACAAATAAAGCTCTTGAAACAAACCATTGACAACTGATTTTTCACCTGATGTGGCCTTGTGTTCTTCATAACATTCTGACTATTATGTGATACAATAGTAGATTGAATCTTTAAAAAAAAAAATTAACCTTTGAATGCTGTTGCCAAAATGTTACACTAAAAATATATGGGATACTTAAAATCACAGTTAATGAATAGGTGATTGCAATTCCATGTATTGATAACCTGATCCATCAAGACTGCATTATGTGGCTGATTTACTGTTTTAATAGCTTTACACTTCCTAAGAGAATATGCTATGTGCCTATGGGGTACTTGTTAAGTAAAATAAACGTTCTACATGGAAATGTTTTAACTTCTATTGTGGTTTTCTCTTTTTTATAGTATAACAAGCTGTAGGTGTGAATGTGTCATAGATACAAGTCTTGAGAACAGCCTCTAGTGGTCATGGCAAATTATTTAGTAAACGTGCAAAACTAAACAGTCCAAACTCTTTAAATCACTATTGCATATACCTATTCCCTTTGCCACCCGGCCACCACTATACGTGTGTTTTTGCTCAAACTTAATAATTGAGAAATAGATGTGTAGGAAGTCGGTCTTTTTCTATAAATGTCTTGTCATTGAACAACATTGTATAGCATTGAAATTTTTGTATGATATATCTGCCTAAGAACAACATTGTATATCATTGAAATTGTTGTATGATAGGTTAATTTAAATATCTGCTTAATTGCCCTTCTGTTTCTGCAGGTAATTTTAAAGCTCAAAGCTCATGCTGGATAAGAGGCATTTGCACCTGAGACAGCTGCACTTTTCTTTTTAATTTCTTGTGTTTTCTTTTGTTTCTAAATGAATCAGACAATACTGATTTCATAAAGCATCCCCATAGCTTTTGGTGGAAGCAAACTTTACGTTGGTCTATTGAGAAATTTGGATACTGTTAATTAGAAGAGTGTTTTCTCCCCCTTCTGTTCTGTCATGAGCTTCTGATTTGGCTCACCAGATTTCTTCTTTCAAACGGAAATATTTAAAATACTGATTCCTGTTTAACATGTTGCACTACTTTTCAATTCTCAATTTCCAGTAGAAAATCATAAAACATGTTCATGAAATATATTTCCTTCTCATCTTTTCAATTATATAGGGATGGCAACCGGGCGGTGGCAAGGAGTATATTCCCCGTCCTTGAAACCTTGTTCCCATCTTCGGCGGGGAATTAAAAATAGTCTCCATTCTCAACTCGCAGAGAACAATCGTTATGTTGTGCAACTGTGTGCACCATGCATGTTGCACACGGTTACGAACGATGCTGTTTCACTATGGTGGAGTAACGGTGCCGTTAGTGGCACCGTTTAGCTCCACCAATCTCTTTTTTTTTTAAACTCTAATTGACGGGATTTCCACTATTTTTGGTGTGGATATATAGTTCATTAATTTTGGATACATAGTTCATTAATTTTAGATATATAATTTATTAATTTTGGATATATAGTTCACTAATTTTAAATTTATAGTTCATTAATTTTGAATATATAGTCCATTTATTCTTAATATACAGACGTAGCGACCAAAACAGGGTACCTGTAACCTGTGTCACGTGTGGATATATAGTTCACTAATTCTGGATATATAGTTCGTTAATTTTGGATATATAGTTCATTATTCTGGATATATAGTACAGACGGCAATCAAAAATGAATTTCTTTTTTAAAGTCGAACGCGTCGACGCCGTTTTTGTAACCGTGTGCACCATGCATGGTGCACACGGTTGCATGGCATAATTTGCACGCGGAGAATTAGGCGGTGATGGTGATTCCTCGTTTCTGGTCAACTTTTAGTCAAAATTTTAAATTAGCGAAATTTTTTATTTTTAAAAAATTTATATATATATATATATATATATATATATATATATATATATATATATATATATATATATATATATAGTGAGAACAGGTCTTTCCGTGCGGTTAGTGCGGCATATACCATTAGGTATGCATAAATGCATCACGTTCGAAAATACACCATTATGTATGGTGTTTTTTTTTTTTTTTTGTGGTGCATTTTTTTGGCTTTTCATTTTGGTGTATACCCGTGCGGTTGTGCGAGTGATTAATGTACGTGAGTTTTGTACTTAATATGCGTGAGTCTTGTGTTTAAGGTGTGTGAGGTTTGTGCTTAATGTGCATGAGTGTGTAGTGCTTAATGTGCGTGAGTTTTGTACTTAAGGTGCGTGAGTCTTATGTGTTTAATGTGCGTGAGTTGTGTGTTTAATGTGCGTGAGTGTGTACTTAATGTGAATTGTTGTTGAAACTTTAAAGTGTTTTGTGCTTAAGGTGCGTGAGTCTTGTGCTTAAGGTGCGTGAGTTTTGTACTTAATGTGAGTTGTTGTTAAAACTTAAAGTGCCTGTGTTTTTGTGCTTAAGGTGCGTGAGTTTTGTGCTTAAGTTGTGAGTTTGTGTTCTGAATCTATATATATATATATATATATATATATATATATATATATATATATATATATATATATATATATATATATATATATATATATATATAGATCCAATGAATCATATTAATCAAGATTTTTTCAGTATTTTCGCGCACATTCTCCTACCTAGCGAACTGCAAGAGTAAACTCGTCATAAAACACCAGAATAGGGAAAATCACATTGTTGTGTGTTTTATTACACTATTGGTGCATGTTGTCAACACTGTTGGTGTATTCTGAAACCCGGTCGCTATAAATGGCCACTGTAATTACCATAACACGGGAATACCCATTGGTGTGTTTCACTGTGGTGTGTTTTATTACACTATTAGTGTATGTTGTCAACACTGTTGCTGTATTCTGGAACCCGCTATAAATGGCCACTGTAATTATCATAACGCCCCACTTACTAAAACACGTGAAAATCCTCAGAATTACCACTGTCGTTAGATTAAACTGATTCAACGACACAGATACAACCACACGACCACACCTAATGACATGACCACATATGAGCGCTCTTCTATATATATATATATATATATATATATATATATATATATATATATATATATATATATTCGGGGATGGGGTGTGAGGGGTATTCTTGTTCCGGACGGAAAATTACATACATTCCTTGTCCCTATTGCAATTTAGTGTCTTGATGCACACCTTCAAAGATAGAACCAAATCCTCATTCCCAAAAAAATAATGATAATAGGTATAATATTTCATCCCTATTAGGGGTAGGTACTATATCATCAATGCCAATGACTAATTCTAATTAATTGATCAAAGTTATGTTAAATTTTATATTGTATTTTTTTTAATATATTCCATAGCATATGTCAAATTGTTAACAATAACAATTATGTCAAATTTAATTCGGATGTAGTTTGAAGATTTCTAACTTAAAAAGACATTTTTTATGAAAATCTAAGTTAAAAGAATAATAATAGAGGGTAAAATAAGAAAAATAATAAAAATACTAAAATTAAAATAATATGAATCATTCATTTTACAAACAATTACACTAATATTTGTTTTAGTTAGAGTTAGAGTCAGATGTCTAACTTTATTAGCTCTTATTAAATTTGTATTTGTAGATTTATTTATATTTATATATTTATATTTAATATTAGTAGATAAAAATATAGTAGGGTAGATATATAATTTTATACTTTGTATGTAGTGTAGGTTAGTTATAGTCGGGCAAATATATAAGAATTAGTTAAGATTGTAAATTATTTAAGTCAAGTAAATGATAACTTAAATTATTCTTGTTGATCGAAAAAACGTGAAGACAAAAAGTGGTGAAAACCAACATGTACTCCCATGCTGCTATATGCCTATATATACTTGAAAAGGCAAAATCCACACAACACATGAAGGGCTAAGCAAAGAACAAAAAGATTTGAACAGACACTTGTTCAACATATAACAGCAATGGAGCTCAACTCTTTCTTTGGATTCCAAGCCTGCTGCGGAAATCCTCTTCCATGAGAGGAATGCCGTTGCGCAACTTCACCTTCGGCTCCCACCCAAGCAACACCCTCGCCTTTGTGATGTCCGGCTTTCTCTGCCGAGGATCATCCGGTGTGTTCTCCACCTTGATGATCTTCACATTTGGATTAATCATCTGCAAAAAAACCAGACTCATAACTGCCAACTTTCATCTTGAATATGTAAAAAACTAAAAACGTAACGGTTCAGAGAGCTAGCTTTACCTCCATCACTGTCTCAGCAAGTTCAAGCATTGTGAATTCACCTGACAGTGATAATTCAAGTTAGCTTTGCTAGTATAGCAGCTTTCTAGGAAGATAACCGAGAAAACAAAGGCAGAAGCGAAATATAATGCAGTCTAAAACACATTCAAGAGCTGAGATAAAAGGCGTTGGCTCAAATCACTTAAGCATGCAACAACGCTCTCAATGGTATTGCGTAGAGCTGTCAAAACGGGCAGCCTGGGATGAGCTTTGAGATTTTAGGCCTGTTTTATTTGCGAGCTTTTTAGCCCACCCCGTAACTACTAAATTTTAAAAAATTATTAAAATAAATAAATATTACAAATTTACAAAACAAAAACCCTAAGATAATCCCCAATTTCTTTATCTTTAGACTATCTTTATTTAAAATTTAGAGTTTAGAGTATTTAAAATGATTTTAACATTTACTTATTTTTTAAAAAATTTTATAAATTTACAAAATTACAAAGTTAATATTTTGCTTGGCGGCCAACCGCCTAACCCCGTGGGCCTAAGGCAGGGTGAGCTAGCCTCCCTTAGGCCTATATTATTGGCGAGCTTTGGTGGGCCTGCCTCGCCGGCCTGCTTTGACAACTCTAGTCTTGCGGGATGCAGATGTCAATGGCAATTTATATCCTGCAGTACGGCGCATGTTGCATTGTGCGCCCAGATGCAAAACGACGTCGTTTCAATTTTTTTTTTTTTTTTAAAAAAAAAATTTCGTTACCCAGTGTTTGGCAGTTAATTTTCCTTAAAAAAAAAAATTCATGTTCAAAAATGTACATAATGTTATACTAGAATACACATAACTGTATACATGAATGTACATAATTATATAACAAAATACACATACTTTTTTTTAAAAGATAATACACATAATCTAACATAATACATAATAAACATAAACTTTTAACATAATACACAAAAAAATTCCTAATTCGGATGTACATAGTTGTTTAAAAAAAAATGTACATAATTGTATAAAAAATATACATAATCATGTCAACTTCTTACCACGCCTCCCAAAACGATGTCGTTTTGGGAGGCGCTGGCGCACAGTGCACTGTGCACCGTGGTGCAGGGTATAACGATTGGATACCAATAGAGTATAAAAAAAAAAAAAAATCAACATTCAGAAGTGTTTGCAATGTCAAAGTCATGGGAAAAACCTGGGTTGCCAATGTTAATGGGTCCAGTATTCTCTCCCTCCATCAGCCGAATAAGTCCATCAACCTTCACAATCAAGAATTCAAGATAAACGAGGTATTTAATTTGCTGTTAAGTGGCTAACAGACAATTACGCACCATATCAGAAACATAGCAGAAGCTTCGGGTTTGAGTTCCGGGCAACTGGACAGTCAATGGCTCGTCGCTACACAAAACGCAATTGTGAGAGCAAGAAAAGATTCTCGATATTAAGCAGTAGCATTTGGAGCTTTACCGAATTGCCTGAGCAATGAAATTGCTGACAACACGACCATCATCGATGTTCATCCTTGGTCCATACGTATTAAAGATTCTAGCAATTCGGATTTCTGTCAATGTGCCAGGAAAACTAAATAAGAAGACAATAACCGACTCAACTGTTGAGCCACTGTTAAAATACAAGTTAGAAACAATTACCTATCCCGTGTTGCCTGTGATAATCAAACATCAAAGTCTCCGCAACTCTTTTTCCCTCGTCATAGCAGCTCCTGACTCCTGAAATCCGGTACGACAACTATCCCATGAACACCCGCATTCTAATCGAGTAGTGTCGAGTGGGTAAGCTACCGAAACTCCACTGAGGTCCAAGGTGAAATGGACTCAAAATTGGGAAGTTAGTTGCAAGTGGTTAATTACCTACCTATTGGGTTAACATTGCCCCAATAACTCTCCTCCTGAGGATGAACTAGGGGATCTCCATAAACCTCGGAAGTTGATGTTAGCAGAATCCTGCGTGTACGATAGAAATGGTCACAAGATCGAGGATTTCAATTGACAAGAAAACGCAAAGATCTAATTCTTACCTCGCGCCAACTCTCTTGGCAAGTCCCAACATATTTAATGTCCCGATTACATTTGTCTTAATTGTCTGCAGATTCATACGAGAAATGAACTAAGAAAACGTTACGAGTCTAACATACACGAAGAACATTATTGTATCTTAATTACTGACCTTCACCGGGTTGTATTTGTAGAAAATAGGGGAAGCAGGACAAGCGAGATGATAAATTCGGTCAACTTCAACGAACAATTTCTCTGTGACATCTGCACAGGAAGAGGAGATACGATATATGATAAACTTGGCAGAAGATCACGAAAAGTGCCAAAAACATCATAGAAATGGCCTTACCATGTCGAATAAGCTCGAATCTTGGATGGCCAATCCATTGCTTAAGGTTATCCTTTGATCCCGTGAAATAGTTATCCACAACAATCACCTAATGCAAAACGTTTAATCAAGTATATCACTACACTGTAAACATACAACTCAAAGACAACGTGTAACCATTTACCTCATTCTTCTCGTTTTGCATTAGCTTGTCCACGAGATGAGAGCCAATGAACCCAGCACCACCGGTAACCAGAATTCTCATGTTCGCCTATCATTACAGAACGAACAAATTTAGGACAGGAAGAATAAATGAACAATAAGAGATGAAAGTATGAACTACTGTCGAGAAACAAAGAGCTACACATGCTCCCAAGTCCCAACTGTCTCAACTAAAAGTTTAAGTGGATAGTGAAACTACACATTTATATTTTATATACTATATATGCTCAACACTCTCAATCTAAGGATGAAAAACAAGCAAACTAGCACTCTAGCACCAGATTTCAAATCCATTAGACCAATACTTAAAATGTTGAATGGCCAAATCCAACAATTGGTGGCTAGGGGGCCTCTCTCTCTCGAAAGGAATAAAGTTGCACCTTAGCTAACTTTTAGCTTAGTAGTAAGTGTTTGATCCTAACACAAAATTATCAGAAATTGAAGTTCAAAAGTACAATTTCACCTGGAAAAATTTCGCCTTTCTCAGCGGCGAGGGCTCTGGTGGTGGCTTTCTTCCATTTGAAGCCATTCTTTCAGACTACAAACACCATACCGACAAACCAAATCACCATTAAGAATCACAAACCCAATTCAAAGCTCAGTATAAACCCCCCAAAAATGCAATCCTTTTTTTTTTTTTTTTGAGTAGTCATTTTTAAAGTGCAAGCAAAGATCTCCCCAGAAAGAATAGCATACCAAAATATGAACCTTCAACAAATTAGGGAAAAAAAAAAGAAAAAGAAAAACATTAAATCACCTGATTCTATGCAAATTACAGTGAAAACTGAAAAGGGTTTTAGGGATAGGCAATGGCAAAGCTTGATACATGAGTGTGCATATATATATCTCACAAACATTCTAAGCACTCAAGTAGTACAGTGAATATGCAAGACATGAAGCCATGTTTGGTGCCACACCAAACATTCTTGCCAACAGACAGAGAAAAAGATAGAGAAACCAAACAAACAAACAAACAATTTTTTTTTATTTTTTTTTAAAGAAGTTCAAGAATAAAATTAAATCTTCAGAAATACGTAAAGTGGGCGGATAGAGTGAGAGTGTGATCAAAGATTGATAGAAGAAAAAAGAGAAAGCAGACCCACATTTAAGTGCTTGATCTGAACCAAATCGCTCAAATATTTACTATTTTTTCAGTGGAAACAATTATTAATTGAAAATTAAACTTGTAATTATCGCAAAGAGTCTGCTCTGAAAGTGCTTGTAAATTGATAAGCTGATCTGTTGATGTTGATGATTGATTATGATAAAAATAATATCAGTTATTCAATTTAAATTTATTAAGGTAGGTAAGAGTTAATTCTATTTTTTGTGCTAGATTTATAAGTGACAATTCACTTTTCGTTATTTTTCTTAGAACATTCGTCTTTGGTTCTAGTATTATTGTAGCATGATCATTTTTTGTTCTCTGTTAACAAAATCGTTGAAATGTCGGTTAAATGTAAAGATATTTTGATCTTTTTTATACAAAGTTGGTTGACTCGTTATATTTTTATTTATTTATTGTTTTTCTAAAAAATCTTAATTGAATACCTAAATACTTTTTATTTTATGAAATTTAAACGATTTTTATTGATGAAGGACAAAAAAAAAGGTCATGCCAAAATAATACTAGGACTAAAAGAGAATGTTCTATAAAAAAAATTAAAAGTATATTACCACCTATAAATCTTGACAAAAATTGAAATTAAGTGGCTTATGTAATATCTACAACACACACACACACACACACACACACACACACACACACACACACACACACACACACACACACACACACACACACACATATATATATATATATATATATATATATAAAATCTAACATCAAATAAATAAACAAATGATTTCACCCGCAAGGTATGGATGAGATTGTGTAAATTTCTTCTCTTAATTAAAGGTTTCGAGTTTGAGTTTTACCTCTTCAACGACATCCGGTGTCAGGACCATTGTGAATTGAATGGGGTCCACTTCATTTCTCAGTTTTCCATTTATCGATTTTCTATTTTTCATTTTCTATCTTTTTAATTTTTCATTTCTTCTAATTTTTTGATATAATTTTACAAATTCAATTTGTAAATAAAAAAATTAATACACTAATACTAGATTTATAAAAGGTAACAAAGTTAATAAAAACATATTATTAAGAAAAGTACAATTAATTCAATTATTTTAGTATATAGTTTGATTACAAAATAAAATAATAAGAGAAAACACACGAGGAGAAACAAAATTAATAAATTTTTAATACAGTAAATATTTCTTTCAATTATTAACGATTATAAATCATATATTATTTTCAAGCACCTTGTGCTAGGAAATGTCACAGGATTGAACCCCGGTGGTGTGGTCTTAACTCTTTAGACTACAATAGATAAAGTATAGAACAAATACTACCTTATAATAGAGTCAATACTATTTCAAAAAAAAAAAAAAATCACATTACAAATACCCTAAATCTTAAAAATGCTCTCTCTAAAAAATAATAATAATAATAATAATAATAATAATAAAAGCGATAATTGCATTTTTTGTCCCTAAGTTATTGAGTAATTGTAGAATTCGTCCCTGAGTGTTGGTCATGGTCACTTTTCGTCCCTAAGTTATCATTGGCGTTGAACTTTTCGTCCCTGAGTGTTGGCCATGCTCACTTTTCGTTCCTAAGTTATCATTGGCGTTGCACTTTTCGTCCCTGAGTTATACTAAAATTGCAAATTTCGTCCCTAATCAGTAATCACTATTACACAAATGGTATACTACGCCACTTAATATACGACGATTTTTTAAATAATCGTCGTATATACCTTAATTAATTTTTTTACGTCATACACTTTAAATAACCATCGGGGTTATTTCTTTATTTATTTTTACACATACACGACGGTTTTCGAAGTGTTGCGCATGAAAGTGACTGCTGTTGTAAATATACACTTTCTACGGCAGTTTCGAAAATCGCCGTGTATGCTAATTATATACGGCGGTTAAACAACCGCCATGTGTCAACTATATACGACAGTTATTTAAACAACCGACATTTATTAAGTGACATAATATAACACAATATATTAGACGGCGGTTATTTAAAAAAATCGCCGTCTATTAAGTGATGTAGTATACCATTTATGTAGTAGTGATTAGGGACGAAATTTGCAATTTTTGTATGACTCAGGAACGAAAAGTGCAACGTCAATGATAAGTTAGGGACGAAAAGTGAACATGACCAACACTTAGGGACAAATCCTACAATTTCCTTATAACTCAGGGACAAAAAGTGCAACGCCAATGATAACTTAGGGACGAAAAGTGAGCATGATCAACACTTAAGGACGAATTCTACAATTACCCTATAACTTAGGGACGAAAAGAGCAACTTTCTCTTAAAAAAATAAAAAGTGACCGAATCATCATGAAAATATAAAATTTACATATTAATATGTTTTTCAATTTTCAGTTGAAGATAATTTACATCAATTAGAATAAGGATTAAATAGTATAAATGAATAAGGGTCAAATAGGCCATCGAACTGCACACAATAATGCAATTAGGCCACTAAACTTTAAAAAAAAAAAAAAAACAACAATGGGGTCTCTAAACTAACCATTTTCATGCAATTAAGTCAATTTACAGGTTTTGCAAGTTAGTAACAGGTCACCCAAATTTTAAAATATATATATATATTAATTATTATTTAAAAATAATAATTTAAAATTAAAAAAAAAAAAAAAACAAGTTTAATCTCCGCCGGAGACGAGTTTCTTCGTCTCCGGCAGAGCGAAGAAACCTTTTTTTTTTTTTAATTTATTATTTTTAAATAATAATTTTTTAAAAAAATATTTTATAATTTTTGGGTGACCTGTTACTAACCTACAAAACATATAAATTAGACTAATTGAATGAGTTTTGTTAGTTTAGTGGCCTAATTGTTGTTTTTTTAAGTTCAGTGGCCTAATTGCATTATTGTGTGCAGTTCAATGGTCTATTTGACCCTTATTCCAATATAATAAATATATTGTATTATTGTTTGGTAATCATAATATTACAAGTTCCACCCTCAAAGAAAACAGTCTATTAATTTTCATTAGTAAAAAATAAACTCTTTATTTTTTACTTAATTCTTTAGTATTTTTTTAATTATTTTTTAAATTTAAATTTTTATATTTAATAATATTTTTATATAATTTTTAAATGTATAAAATTATATACTAATGCTAAACTTAATATTTTGAAAAGTTAAATTACAAATAAATTTCAGTTAATGTTTGTTAACTAAGCCAGACACGAAATTCCGCAACATTACAACGTTGTACAAGTTTGTTTCCATATATAAATAAGTCAATAATTTACGAGTTAATTCCAGTAAAGGTCCTCCGACTATATTGATTTTCTACAATTAGTCCTTGACTTTTAATTTGGACAATTTATGTCCCTTGACTTTTAAATTCTTTCCAATGTTGGTCCTTCCGTTAGATGAAAGTTAAGTGGGTGTTAAATGAAGGGGTAAAGTAGTCATTTCGGTGTTTTTAATTTAAATGCATGGGAAGAATGAAAGCCAGGTGGAGTTTTAAAACTGAATGCAATCCCACTTCTGCGAACTATTATGTGTCTTCCCTCCATTTTTAAACTGAATGCAATCCTTGGTCGCCTTTTCTCATAGTCTCACTTTTTTTTTGATAAGCTGGTCAGTCTCTCATATATGTATGTATTTACATATGTATGTGTATGTATGTATATCACTGCATTCTTTGAGACACTAAAGTTGCAGTTCTTTTATACATTAACGCACCCGTTTTTACCTCTAAGACTACAAATGGACCATGTGATCTGAAGATATATAGAAGTTAGAAACTATAAGAAAAAATCATGTATCCATCTGCGTAAGTTGCAATTTTTAAAAACCCCTGCTTCTGCCCACACATTACCACTGGGCCTGCAAATATGCATGTGTAAAGGTTAAAACCAAGAGGACAATATGTTCAAAATAAAGCAAATAGCATGCTATGATTTTCTAATATGCTTCTAATGCAACATAAATAAATTCTGCGAGTATGGTCATAAATATTTGTACTCACCTGAAAGTAATTTAACTCAGTTTCATGTTCTTTCATCTATATGATTTTTTGGATGAATGTTAAAATATGTAATATTCCTTTGTTGTGGGTTGTAATTCGTGATGCAATATATTATGATGTGTCTGACCCTAGCTTTGTTGCTTCACTAGTCAACTGGGATCTTCCATATGCTCAGCGCTATATATACACCAATCATCCCAAAAGATTTTCTCAGCTCAAGCAATCTGGATTTGAAAACCTGAGAGGTCTAAAGATTTTTGTTGTAGAAAAATTGTTCTACAAAAATGTGATTAAAGGATATGAAATGCAATCCAAGAAAAGGTTCAAGTGCAACTCTCTTTTAAAGGTATCAATACTGACAGTACATTCGGTATTGCGTTTGTTTGCTGTTCAAGTACCAAGTAATCAACAAAGGACAGAAGTAGTTATTAATGTTATTCATTTACTAAGTAATTAGAAAATGACACAGTTGTTAGGAAGAAAAAAAGTTCTTTTCTGGGTTGTTTGTTAATTATAATAATCCCCATAAAACTAAATGATGTCCATCTACAGATGTAATTTAAAAGGCTAAATAATTTTGTAACTTGCTGCTGCAATGTTTATACTTTGTTCAGTATGAGTTTCTTTTCTTCTCTTAAAGTTAACTTGCTGCACTAAAATATTTTCCCTTTTCCTTTGCCTGAGTTTCTGTGTTTAGAGTGAGTTTTATTCGAGGTGCTTGTGTACATTCTGATAGTAATTTGCAATGTTAAAAAATGTACATATTTGATTTAAATTCCTAATGTTTTCTGTGGTGACTTACATGACACTGTATTGTATGTTTCTCGAGAATTAGATTCACACTCTGTATTTATGTAACTTTCTCGCTTCATTGGTGGTGGAACCCCTGATCTAAATTTGGCCAATTTTCTTCACATGATCATAACCATGGCAGAGTCAGGTTCAACTGAGGAGCATATTGAACTCTACATTATAAATAGCCAGAAAATGTCGAGACTCCCTGAAGGCGAACTTGTTTGGTCCCTTTAAGATAGCGTGTTTTCAAATGGAAAATGAGGAGCCAGTGATGACTAGCTTTGAGCAGCTAATGAACCAAATCCAGTCAAATTCAAGAAGAAACCAGGGATACATTCTAATTGGCCACCTGCAGACTGGAAAACTGCACCTGGCTTTCATTCTTCCCGTGCATTTAAATTAAAAACACCAAAAAGACTACTTTACCCCTTCATTTAACATCCACTTAACCTTCATCTAACGGAAGGACCAACATTGAAAAGAATTTGAAAGTCAAGGGACCTAAATTGTCCAAATTAAAAGTCGGGGACCAATTGTACAATTCTAAACGCTGTTCTTTGAGCAGGAAAGACGCTGAAGTTACGACTCCGCTCTTTCTCGGACGTTTGATCGATCAACAAATAACGGTACTGATTGTCTGATTCAATCCTTTGCGCGTGTTAGTGATGTTCTTCTGTACGTAGATCTTGTCCGAATGTCCGTTTTTAGGTTTGTTTTGTTTGTTTGTTTGTTTTTTATTTATTTATTTTATTTTTATTTTTTAATTTTCTCTTCTGATATTCTGCGACTTTTTGTTTGTTTGCTTATTTTTTTCACTGAATTTAGATCATAGATCTGGAAGCCCAATTGGCTAGCTCCGATTTTGTTGTCGTTTTCACTGTCATCGTGGCACGATGAATCTCAGTGGTTTTCTGGAGAGGTGTAGGGAAAAACCCAATTGATCGCGAGACTTGGAATCTGAATATCGTGAATCTCACCTTAATAATTTTTGTTTTTAATCGCTTGAAAGGTTGGTCCAGAGATAATGCGGTTTAACTTTGAAAGAGTTATGTTTGAACTTGAGAATGCAGATTGTAAATTTCATACCATGTGGATTTTTTGGTGGTAAAAGCTTTTGAACTTTGGAAGAATTATGCTTGAGAATAGTAGATTGCAATTTTTTTGCCCTGTGCTTTTGGTAAGACAGCTTGTTCCATAACCCGTAGCCACTACCCGAATGTGTGCACTAGTTAAATCCTGCCTTGTAACCCTATCTGGCAAAGTATCAGGTAAACCAGCTTAGGTTGTGACCTGCTCAAACCAAGAAGGTCAATAAGCTGCTCCTACTGAGAGCCGAACTTGAAATCTTGTGGTTACTAAGCCAAAAACCTGACCAACTTGGCTTGTGTTGGCCCTATAGTGAACACAGTTTAGTTTTAAAGTATGATGCAACCTAGAGTAAGATGATATCGGATATGATGAATTATCTTAAAAGATGGAAGCTTCTCGAAAGAAAGAAAAAAAGGTTGGTAATTTTATATATATGTTGTGTGAAAAAGTTTGTGTTAGTATAAATATAAGTATTTGTGAAATTGGTGTAGATTGTTGACAAGTGAAAAGGGGTGTTTTGTAATGGAGGGGTTCAAAATGCATTTCTGGAAGTGTAGATAGATGTTTAGTTACAGATTTAACAGGCAGGCATGTAGGATTTATGGTGCTTTGAGGTGGTGAATTATGAAATGAGGATTTGAGCTGGGAAGGTGACATTTATTACTAAGTCCTCCTAAGCCAGGAGGGGTGATTGTAATTTGTGCAGTGGTGTCAGGTGTGTGTATACTTATATTTCATTTTGTATTTTTTGCTGTATAGAAAACAAAACACTCACTTTACCAGCTTTTGTCTTGTCTAGGGACTGGACCACTGCTATTTATTTCATGACTGTAATTTGAAAGAGAAACAAGTGAATATTTTAGTGTAAACCTTACCATTCTCTTAATCGTCATAGTTGAGTATAATATTGTTTCTGAAAGAATTTGACGCCTCGAATTTGGGACGTATGTAGTTCATTTTCTGTGTGATCTGAGAAGTTCAGATAGCTGTGGTTTGATATAGTTTCTGCATGAAGTATCTTAAGATATCTATGTTTTTTGTGTGTGTATTGTAGATAGAGCTGGTTTGAAATGAATGTTTCATAGATGTCTATTATTTGGAGTTAATGCAGTTTTGTTTGTTTGCATCTTTTTCACTGAATTTATCATAGCTCATTTGGCTTGTTCTGGATTTGTCATCATGCTTTCATGAATTTTGATGGTTTAGTAAAATGCAGGGTAGAGAAATAACAAATAGATCGCATAGCGAAGTGGATATCGTGTTAGACTCCGGATCTAAAGGTCGTGGGTTCGAATCCCACTGCGATCGATACAATTTTTTTTGCCAAGTTCTACTACATGTACTCCCTGATGTGGCGGATATTGATAAACTATTTTTTCCAAAGTGGGAGTACACAGTATTTTCCATAATGTAATGCAGCTTTTTGACATCTTATAGGATACTACTAAATGTACTTGGCACTGTTACTACAATGTTATACCAAGTTCAAGTGGCATTATACTATATATGGTCTTTAATTGTTTATTAGATGCACGAAAACAGGATGTTTGCAATACGGGAAAATGCAACGTATGAAACATGAAGAATACGTACAAATATTGACCTAATAGTTGGAATTGTTATATTGACCCAATAATTGAGAACTAGTAAGCAAACTGAGAAACTAAAAACGGGTCATAATGACATTAATGAATTCAATTGTAATATAATCAATATAAATTATGATGTAACATTATAGAACAGTACAAAATTTGAACAAGTTTTTCTATTTGGTACTAAATAAGGGGAGATTCAAGACTCTCAAAATAAATTAACTTATAACTGAACAGCTCAAATAAAAAAACTAATAAATTGCTCTCACTGAGAGCCAAACGGGGAAGATTCAAGATTTTAATTGACAAGAGAAACCCGTAGTTAGTCACTACTCAAAATAAATTAACTTATAACTAACCGGCTCAAATTAAAAAAACTAATAAATTACTTTCACTGAAAGTCAAACTTAAAATCTTGTAGTTACCAAATCAATAGTCCAATCAACTTGGCACATAATCCAAGACCATTCAAGTATAGCTATTTGAACAATACAAAAGCTAAACAGGAGAATATCCATATCCAGCAGGAGACTTAACAAAGCAAAAGGCAACTATATTCCCACTCTAACAATTTATGCCACAATATCAGCATCCTAGACCACTTGGTTAAAAAGCACAAAAGCATCCTAGATGAATATGAGGTACACAAACACCATCAATCACGAAGTTGATCATCATCAAGTCAAACCAAGTTCCAAAAAATTTTGATTTTTTTAAAGGCAGTTCACCTTTAAAATGTATGTTTTAACAAAATATGAAGAAAACCAAAAAAAAGAAAGAAAAAAAAAAAAAAAAAAAAGAAAAAAAAAGCGAGTATGACCCTGACAGCAATTCTACATCGGGTATCGATCAACAGCAAAAAGAAATAGAAGACAGTCGGTTGCTGAGGCAGCCAGCCATCAATTCTTGGCAACCACGACCTTTTGGAGCAAGAATTCGCACTTGTCAAGCCTACATCATCTCTTGTGACCGCCTTACGCATCGGCTCACCTTTTTCCTGAATTCATCCTTGTTTTCTCTCCATTCTTTCTGCGAACATGCAACAATAGTTAAAGGTTGTTTAATCAAAAATTGAGATTCAGCATGGCAACACATGTAGATAATAGAAAGCCTTAGGTCAATACAAAATGTAGTATAAGATAATAGAAAGCCTTAGGTCAATACAAAAGAACAAGAAAACGCATTAACACTTACAGCAGCTTCCACATTAGCAGGAGACTCATCATTAGGGCCTGAAAGCATGGATATGATACTTAAAACTATACTCTCCACCTGCAATTACAATCCTCTTGGTCAAGTTGGACTAAACAATTTTTTTTTTTTTTTACTTGCAACACACAATAATACAAACTATCACGACAATGCTAGTAAAGAGAAGAGAACAAGGAAAACTATGAGACTTATAATAAAAGCTAATAGTGAAAACAAATAGAGCACCAAACAAAGGGAGAAGACAACCGCACAGAAACCTTTCAAATTAAAAGGTATGACAAAAGGTTTAAAAAGACCAGATAATCAATCTTTTTTACATAGCAAATTGGAGTATGAAAAAGGTATGGTAAATATCTGAGTCTTGTATGAGGCATGTTCAGTAACCAAGGAAAATTGGAGAATTTTCAAAAATAAAAAATTCTTTCTCCAAAGGAATGAACAGAACCCGTGTTGTCCATACAAATTTGGAAAACATGACTGAACAATACCTTTTTTAATTTATTACAATTGGATTGAATAGTTTAGTTTAATCATAATTATTAGATACGGAGTAGTTATTTAGCTTATTCTCAGAAAATTGGAAAAATGGGAAAGTGGAAAGCTCAGAAAATGAAAATTGGAAAAATGTAAAACAAATAGTCCATAGTAAACAGCCCCTAGGATCTTTACACACAACAAGGGCAAAAAAATATAGTGAGAGAACAAGTAATAGAGATTATACAAAATACAAGAGCATTGAGTTTTTAAGAGGTGTTAGCATTTTA